TCCATTACCCCAAGACTGTACGCCAGCCGTAAGGAAGGAGGCAGAAGACTAATGGGTGTAAGAGCCACTATCCAGGATGAAACATCCAAGATACATAAGTACATCAAGGAGAAGGCTCCGACAGATGACACCCTCAGTAATGTCTCAGACAATGGGAAACAGAAGATGAGGTGCCAGAGACTCCGTCATTGGAGTCTGTTTCTCTTAGCAGGAGACTTGTTGACATTAGAGACACCCTTTCATCTCAGCTACGGATGTTAAAAGTTTCCCACAACTTAAGGTCCAAAAACCTGAACTGTCCCTTTATAGCCACCAATCAGTATATACTGGGGAAGTTGGAGAATAGGAAGTTTGTTTTTTTTAAATATCCTTAAAAAAAAAACGAAGTACAGCTTATTTCCTTCTGTAGTCACCTTTTTGGTAACAGTGTGTGCTGTAATACTGAATCCAGCTGCCAGTTCACAGTGGTGAACAAACGTAATAAAAAAAATATTCTATATGTCACCAATCTCTGTTTTAAAGTTAGCAATGTTAGCTAGACCTTTGAGCTCAGTTTGCCAGACTTGTTGGGTTTTTAAATTCAGGGTCTCATACTTTGCTCCTTTTTGTTTGATTTCCTTCAACCACCCCCAGCATGCAGGTTTGTGATTAGAACCCGCTCTGACAACTCTTTGGTCCGCCTGACTCAAGCGTTTGCTCAGATGCTGAATCGCTCTTCAGATGGCGTCCTGGACCTCAACCTGGCCTCGTCGGTGCTCGGCGTGCACAAGAGACGACTGTACGACATCATCAACGTCTTGGAAGGGATCAATCTAATTGAGAGGATCTACAAAAACCACTACAAATGGCTGTAAGCACTGAATGAAACGCTCCTCTGGAATAAAGATCCAAAAGAAAGTCCATGTCTGTCAGTAAATTCCTTTGATGGAATAGACTAGTAGTAGACTAGTAGTAGTAGGAATCGAGCAGCAGATCTCCAGAGGAAGTTGTAGCTTCAACTAGTTCATGTTAGCCCACACGTTTATAGACGTTTCATGCCGGAAATAATGGGTCAAATATGGATCTGGGTTATGAGATGTAGGTTTTCAGCCAACGTGTTTACTGCTACGTTAATTATAAGTAAGTTATTCCATTCCATCCATTCCCGGTCACATAAAACTGTAAGGCAGGCGGTTGGAAGCAAACCTTCACCGTGTCGGGTTCGGTCACTCCGTCCCCGGCTGGCTCTGGACCAGCCTGAATGCCTGGTCCAGTCCGGTCTAGTCAGCAGCAGCAGAACCCCCCGGCAAAAAGGAATGTCCTCCTTTACAGAACGAAAAATAATAAAGTCAATACTTATAACATTAGCATTGTTCCCAAAAACAGTTGCTAAATGTCTCAGCACACTGATAACTTCATCATAGGTAGCCATGTTTGTTGTGACTGTGGCTGCTAACCAACTAATGGGGCAAAGTTGAGCCCTTAAGACCTTAAGCCCTTCCTCATATGTATCATGAGGCAGAAAGGCAGACAGAAATGTAAAAATGACAGGCAGAAATAAATAGGGTAAAGAATAAACCAGACAAAAATATTATAACATGCACATAAATAAATGCTTAAAGAAATAAGTAATAAATAAATAAAGTGACAGTAACTTAATAAATAAATAAGGTAATTATAATCCATCACACTCACCTTCTAGCTCACCCTATGGTGGGGTTGAAGTCTGGAGGAGAACTGACGATGTTTCCTCCTGTGAACCTCCTTTTATTTTTATACCAAAACGCTGCCACTACAACATTATCCAGTAGCTGGAAGTTAGAAAGACGTTCAGTCATGGTGTATAAAAGAATGAGGAACTCTATTTTAATGCTTTTAATACTCTAAGAAGTAATTGTAATGACTCGCATATATATATATATATATATATATATATGTGCCTATCAAAATCAACCCCATTGAGTTCCGTCCCATTGTTCACGGGGATGGACGTCTTTGTCTTCAGCAGGCGTAGAGCTAACAGAACTGGCAGCGTTACGAGGCAAGGGCTCAAACACCAAATCAAGCTTCTGGCGTCCTCTTCCACAACATCTTAGTCCCCCGCTCTCCTCCTCTTGCATGTTTCTGCTGTCCATAGCGTTCCTTGACAGTGTCGTTTCTAAGTCACCAATTTAGTGCTACTTGGTCCCAATGGAATTTCCCATTGCAACCTACTAGCACTAAGTTGCTAACTGGTTAGCAAGATGCTTCTGAGACACCGGCTACAATCAAACTTGCTAGCGAACCTTCTGCCAAAACACAACCCCCCACCCCCCCTTCATCGACCAAAACATTCAATTTATTCACTCGTGTAAAGTTGTGCACCACTCTGGAGAATTTGGAAATTAAACGGTTTGAAGAGAAGTTTTGCTGCCACTTTAAGCTTAGAATCGGAAGTGTGATCCATCTGGTTAACTCTGTATGTCTCCACAGAGGTGCGCCCATGGATGAAGGAGTCATTATAGGTTTGAGGGCTCTCGTCGATGCAGAGGAGGCGCTGGATCAGCTGATCCAAAGCAGCACCAAAGCCATCAAAGAGCTCAATGAGGACAATGACCACCAGAAATATCCTTGCGGCCTGTGCTGTAGGCCAGAAATGGAGGTTTTTCTTTTCAAATCCATATCTGCTTTATGATCTTCTGCTGCTGCATGTCGTTCCATTTCAAAGATTTATTTTCCTTAAGTTCATGGACCACATTTGCGTATTTGACCTACAAGGATATCAGCAGTATTCCGAGTCTGGAAGGGCAGACAGTGATTGTGATCAAAGCTTCCTCTTCGACTGAAATACAGGTGCCACATCCAGATGAGGTAAATCCAACAGGATGATAAAAAATCTCTCTGCTGGCATCTGGGAAACTCATGATAAGTTTGCCTTCTTCTCTGATGCTCAGGGCTTCCAGATCTACATCAGTAGCACCAATGAGCCCATCGACGTTTTCTTCTGCTCCGATAACCCGGTTCCAAAGGAATTCACCTACCCACACTAATGGAGACTTCCAGCTAACCACCTGCAGAAAAGACTTCTTTACTCCTTGGCCTCCATCCTCTCCTCAGACGTCCTCTAAAGGTCCGCAGGTTCAGATCCGTTGTACAGATCGCTCATAAAAAGTGTTGAAACATAGGAATTGATGGTTAATAGGAAAAGTTTTGAGATGTTTGCATTTAGCTCCACTGAGATAATTAGAACCATGTTTTGTTCACAGGATGAACTATGTGGGCTATGTTCAGGTTCAAATGTAAATCGTTATTTAGAAGTTCATATTCTGCACCTGATCAGGAAGCACGTTCTAGCGGATTTATTTTATAGCTGTGCAGGGCTGAGAAAGCTTTATTTACCCCTTTAAAAGTTCGAGATTGTGAAACAACATTCAAAAATAACTTGATTAATACAAAAAACGAATGATTCTATTAAATAAGGGGGGAAATATCCAAACCAGGTTAAACTTGTTAAGGGATCGTGTTCTCTTAGCCGCCATGCATATATGTTTAAGAGTAGTGTTGCGCCAATACTGATACCAACAAATAGGGAACCGATACCATTTTGAGAACCAAACGTTTATTTAACTATCGTCACCTATTCCAGGTAGGCAATAACAAGTTCTACTGGATTCACTTTGTATTAGTCTTTTTCCTGCTTATCAAAGGTAGGCAGCAGCTTGACAAAGCCATGATGGCAATTATTTTACATCCAAGTAGTATGAAGTTCCTCATATACCCCATTTACACTACCCTTGAAAAACCGATCCATGCTGAAACCGGTCCGAGCTCAGATCAGTTAACCAGGCAGAGCTCGCTTCTGACGACCGTTTACACATCACACTATCTCAGTTCCTCGCCTCCTAGTGACGATCTGCGGTATTGCTGCCAGTATTGAAGGAGGAAATAAAGCAGTTGGTGGCAGTAATGCACAAAAAGTTGTTTGCCAACCGCCATTAAACACAAGAAGACGAAGGAGGGAATCAAACAAATCCAAATGGCGGCGCCTGTCACATTAAGAAAGTTATGCTTGATTATTGATACTGTACTTCAGTGTTTGTGGAGGGTCACGCGAAGACGGCAACCTTTCGTGGATTTACTTGATTGTTGTTTAAAGTTGTTCTTCTTCTGTTTTGTGTTGGTTGGCAAGCAACTTCCGGATGGGCATTACCGCCAACTACTGGAATGGAGTGTGAATCGGGATGTGCAGCCAGACGGAGATGACGCGTTCTGCTCATGCACTCTTGTTATCAGAGAACCGAGCCGAGCCCACCTCTGGAACTGGTCTGCAGTTATCTCGGTTCGGTTGTGTCTAGCTTGGTTCAATTCAGTTTGCTTTCCATTTACACACGATAAATTATCTCAGTTACTGAGCTCGGATCGGTCTCGGCACAGTTTTTCAAGGGTAGTGTAAATGGGGTAATATATACACACATCAATTTCAAACCGATGGTATCAGTATCGGCCATCACTGCACAGCCAGGCATCGGGGCCAAAAAAATGGCACCAGTGCAACTCTAGTTACAAATATATCTGTTATTTGTGTGTTTTTAGCTTTCTTCCTATAGGGAAAGTTTTTCAAAATTTGCAACATTTCTGCTGGGCCAGAAAGTAATGGTTTATGTTAAAATAAACATTTGGGATAAATTTGTCGCTACCAGGTTTTGTTTTTTGTTTTATTGTAAAGTTGGTCTTTAATTTGCATTTTAAGTGGCATTAAAAAGTCTTAATTTTAACCTACGTTATGCTGTAGGAACCCTGATGGAACAAAAATACCAGTGATGTTATGAGATGAGCCGAGGCTTCGAGGCGTGTATCGAATAATGGAGGGTTTTTTTCCTCAAAGTGCGTGTGGAGGCGTGATTAATTTAGGGGAGGGGCTAAAATTAATGACGTCCAAAGTCTCACTACCGTGATGCCACGTAACCGCTTCGGGAAGTGGTTCAGAAAGCACAAGAACTTCAACAGGCATTTAAACAGCCTCAGTATTCAGTCAAGATGTGGGAGTTTGTAGGAGAGTTGCTGTCAGTTGGATAGATTCTAAGAAAGATCGATTATTTTTCCAACCAATCTAGTTGGTTAAAACTATTTTGGTCAGATTAAACAATGTAATGATTAAAATCCGAGCAAGCCGCGGGACATCGTTGTAAGTCTAGTATTAAGTACTATTGCTGTCTGTTGAACAGTTGATAATGTTATTTAGTTAGTAGTTATTTAAGAGCGACATGAATTCATGCTTTCCTCAGGCTGAATCTCATCCTTAGGAGGAAGTATTATGATCTTAAA